GCGCCACGCCACCCGGTGGCCGGAGCGCGCCACGGCCGCGGCGGCTGCCCTTGTTCCGCGCATGCTCGTTCGCTGTCCGGGGGATTCCCCCCCCGGGGGAACCCCTTCCAGCAGGCGGGCGGGGCTTTTGGGAATTGCCGCCTCGAGAGCAGGGAACCCTCTGGCCTCCAGCTGCTGGTGGCCGAGATCCGGGCAGGCCCGGGGCTTCCCCCCCTACAAGCACCCCCCGCCACGGCCGCGGCGGCTGCCCTTGTTCCGCGCATGCTCGTTCGCTGTCCGGGGGATTCCCCCCCCGGGGGAACCCCTTCCAGCAGGCGGGCGGGGCTTTTGGGAATTGCCGCCTCGAGAGCAGGGAACCCTCTGGCCTCCAGCTGCTGGTGGCCGAGATCCGGGCAGGCCCGGGGCTTCCCCCCCTACAAGCACCCCCCTGTGGAGGGCCGGTGGATCCCTGGGAGGGGGGGAAGGAGGCCGGACAAGGCTGCGCCTTTCTGTCGGGGATCGGGACCAGCTGCTCCGAAGCAAGCCTCCCTCCCAGGGGCAGAGCGGCTCCTGTTGGTGTGTGTGTGTTCCTGTTCGCCCCAGGGCACGATCCAGATGGTTTATGGAGCAGCTGGGGTGTGTGTGTGGATGGGGTGGCTCGTGAGTCAAACTGGCCCAAGGGACGGGCAGCTGAAAAGGGGCCTCTGAGCATGCACGGAAGACCTTGGTGGCAAAGGAAGGTTGCAAGGGTGGCCAACGGACCCACAAACCTAAAAAACCCCACCCCCGTCTGCTCTGGTCACAAAACTCCCTATTTGTATGAACAAGCCAACCCTTGATGGCCATTTCGGGTGAAAGGCCAGCGCTTCCACCCGCCAGCCAGCCGGCCACGGGCTCTAGCCGCCCCCCCTCGCCCCCTTTTTCTCTAACGATCTAATCAGTGGCACGGCAAGACTTACAGGTTCCTGTTCCTCTTCTCGCGGGCAGCCCGGGCTCCTTGGTCGCAGGGGCAGTCCGGATCCAGCGCGTGCCGTTGCTGCTGCCGGGAGAGAAGAACAGGATGGAGGTCGCGAGAAAGCCAGGGCTCGCTCGGGGCAGAGGGCCAGCTCGGGGGCACCCGAGATGCCTTTCGGGAGTGGTCCCCCCCACACACACACTGGCACAAGAGGGGCCGAGAGCCAGCCGGCCTCCCGTGCAAAGGCGTCCGTCTCTCATCCAGGCTCCCTTCTCTTCTTCGTTTTCCGACTGAAAACCTGGATCGTCTCGCAGGGATACCCGGGAAGCCTCCCTTCCGAGGGAGATTTCCTTGCTTCATGCACATTAAACACCCCTTGCAGGGAGGTCTGTTTCCCCCCCATATTCTAGTTTAAAGGGTTGGTTCAGAGTGTATTCGCTCAACACGAGCGCGGTGGATACGGAAGACGGATAAAAACAGAACCGTGCACGGCTTGTGCATTTCAAACTCTGATTTTTCTCTCTCCCGGACGCACGGCGAGTGAAAATGTCAGGAACCGGCTTCACCCAACGACAGCGTGGGCTGAACGGTGGGGTGGCTCTCGGGGGCATTTGAAAGGACCGGCTGCCAGAGCGGAGCCGGCCGGCCGGAGCAAAGAGCGAAAGGGCTCTCCCGAGACGGCTCCGGCCGACCTCCGGCCTTGCTAATCCTCCGCTGCAGCAGGCGAAGGCTGTCGCTTTTCAGGAAGGGGTTGGCAAAACACAACAGAACACTAGGGGGCTGTGTGGCACTTGTATGCTTTTACACACCCATATACTGTACTATACACATATTATAATAATAATAACCTCTGAATGGCAGCGCTGGAAGGGGCCCCAGTGGATCAGCCCATCCAACCCTTCTCAAGAAGGCACAGTGGGGACGTGTGAGGGCAGGATGGGGGCTCGGCCCCGTAGAAAGGGTCTCCTACCGCACCCGTTTAGCTTCCATTCAGAGTTTCTCTCAAGCTCTTTCTGCTCTCGGAGGAAATAAGGCCACGGAAGCAAAGCAGCTTTGCCCTAAACCCGGCGGCCGTTCATCTCCCCGACATGGGGATCCACAGGGCCTGCCTGCATCGGCGCTCTAGAAGTCATTTAGCCGGTGCCTTCCGAGGGGAAACACTCTTGGGCGTCGAAGACCTTCAGACGGACTTTCTAAGAAGCTGCCTTGGAGACCTGGCTCAGGAATCTAGCCCGACCGTGGCGAGACAAGGCGCCCAGACCGCCAGCGCTTACAGGGGTTTCCTGCCTCCCTCCCTCAGGTCGCGGACTCCGGACGGGCCTGGGCAGCCTCTTCTCTCGGGCAAACGCCACCTCGCGCATTCAGTTTGCAGCCACCGGTCCTTGGCACGCTTCCTCCCGTGGCTTGGCTACAGCGCGCTCTGCCTTCGGGCATGGACAGACCGGCCGCAATGCCTCCTGGCAGCAGCCCTAACGCCCCCTACCTGTTCCTCTGCGTGGCCCATCCTTTGCCAGGGGAGGGAAGCGCCCACTGACCCTCTCGCAGCGCCACCCCAAGTCCACACGGCGCGTGAAAGGCCTCTCATCCGAGCCCACGCGGCCTGAACCCACGGCCCCTCCCCATGTGGAAAAGAGACCTCCCACCGCCAGGGACCAGCCAGCTAAATGCCCGCTCTGACCGGTGGCAGGAGGAAGGCGAGGGGAGGCGGGAGCGGCCAGCTCCCCACGCCACCGTCTCATGCCCCCTGGGCTGAGGTCGGAGGGCTCAGTGGGGAAATTCTCGGTGCCTTGTTTTGTTCCTGATTGAACGTTCGGGGTGGGCTTTTGCTGCGTTTCATCTACGGGGCAGGTCAGAGGATGGCTCCTCTCACACAAGTCACGAAGGTGTGGCTTCTCCTCATCCTGCCCCTCCGTTTGCGCGTTCATTTGTTGACGCTCCGAGGGCAGAGCGGCCGTGGCCAAATATCTAGGGATCAGGATCATGCCCAGATGAGAACCCAGTAGACCCAGGGTGGTGCTGCAGGTGGGAAGGTCCCGGAAAGGTTCTCCCGGGGATCTCGGCCCTCTCGTCAGCTTGTCAGGACCGCAAAGCCCCCCCTTTTCTCCCACTGGGGGGCAGGCGTGATCTGCTAGCCATTCCCTTTGAGAAGGTCACCCACAGGAAGATGGCCATGAGCCTGGCGGCTGCCGGGCTCCCAATCCAGGCCAGTCCTGGCTTCCTGCTCGTAAAGCTTCCTGCCGCTAAAGGAGTGAAAGGCAGGGCTCAGCAGAGGCTCAGCACCACCGGACCCAATCCACCTGCAAGCCCTGCCCCCCCCGCCACCAATAATCACACCTGCGGCAGCCTGCCGAAGCCACCCGTAACTTGCTCCCGTTCCCTGCCAGGAAGGAAGAAGGGCTCTCTGCTACCTCGTTCTGTGCACCCTCCCCGGGAGTGTGTGTGTCTGCCCTTGCTTTCGGGGAGGTTTGGAGGGGGGGGCATGTGCCAAGGTCCAGGGCTGGCCTACCTTCCGGTGGTTCCCGACAAAGAGGAGAGTGAGGTGGTGGATGGAGCCCCCGTTCTTGGCGAGCTGCTTTTTGAGGGTCTTGGGGGAAGGCAGGGTCCAGCTGGGGGGGCCAGGAGGGGCCGGGCCCCCTTCGGCACAGTCCAGGCTGGTGTCGGAGGTGAAAGATTGGGGGGCCCGGGACTCCCGCAGGAGGCTGCCTTCGCTGTGGGTCCGGCGACGCAGGGAGTGCTGCACGCTCAGGCGGCAGGAGGGCTGGTGGGCGGCCGAGGAGGCTTCAAACATGCTGCAGCGCTTCCCCTTTCCCAGATTCAGGTAGGCGGCCCCGTCGCTATCTTCATAGTCTTCCTCCTCCTGTTGTTCTTCTTCCTCCTCTTCGCTGTCGTCATCGTCCTCCTCCTCCTCCTCGTCCCCCTCTTCCCCAAACAGGTTTGCGGGACGCTCCGGGTGAAAGCTGGCCGTGCTGGCCGTTGCCCCGGCGCCCTGGCCGAAGGGGCTCTCCAGCCGCAAGGTGGGGATCGTGAAGGCCACCGGGCTCTTCCCGGGCTCCTGGGCCTCCTCCTCCTCCCGAGGGCCCGGGCCCCTCTCCTCTTCTTCAACAAGGGCGTGCTGGACCCCCACCATCGTCTCTCCTGTAGCAGCGTCCTCATCGGTCACGGGGAAGGCAAACGGAGGGCTGGGAACGTCCTCCCTTGCAGGGGGGGCGACCCCAGGTTGGGCAGCCTCTGACTCAAGCATCTGGCAGGAGCAGAAAGGGAGAAAGGTGGATGGGTCAATCACATGCTGGGAAACAGTGCAAAGGAATGGGGGGGCAGAGTCCCAAGAAAGATCATGGAAGGGTCAAGCATGGGTCAAAGTCTAAAACAAAGATATAACGTCCACCCACAACCACCCCCACTGATCCAGGCCAGCTTCTGGGGTGTCTTCCATGGCCAGAATCCCCAAACAGTTCAAGCGCTGTACTCCGGAGACCCTGGAAGGGTCTGCTCCAGAAGGGCGACTCTTGCATAGAAGCGATACAGTCCCTCCTCAGCTCTCCGTCTTGGGACCACTGCGCCAGTTTAAAAGTGGGCTATGCTTATTCCAAAGCGGCAGCAAAGGGGAGAGCCGAGGCTGGGCGTTCAGGATTTTCCTCTTCTCACGTTTTGTGGTTCCTACGGCACCTTCTGGAACACCCACGGCAGCCTCAGACGATGGAGAGTGGGATTTGTCCAGAGGTTGGGGCAGCCGGGAATAGAAGCTTGGGAAGTGGAAGATGGGCCTCTGGCGGCACGGCCTTTGCGGGATGATGACTCAGTGCTTCGCGTCATCACGGTAATCAATGCACCTGTTAATGGTGTGCAGGACACATCCGGGCGACGCAAGAGTCCTGGTGGACACCATGTGGGACCAGCATTTGCTGGGATCCTTGAGCCCTGCCCAGGTAAACATTCTGACAAATGGGCGAAGCAAGCAGAGCCGAGACGAGACGAACCTGATCAAACTCCTCCCAAGACACGCCTGCTCATGGACCAGCAGCCACAAGAGACTTGCCACACACACACCCACACACACATCCCCTTGCCCATTGCGCCCTGGCGCAACCCCTCTGCCTGGCACTGCTGTCCTTTCGAAGGCATGGCCCACAAAGCTGCCCTGTGGAGTCCCTTCTCCTGCAGCCGAAGAGCCAGAGGTCACCTGCAGTGGTCCCAGCCTGGCTCGGGGGTGGGGGTGAGGCCCACTCACAATGAACTCCACACACACCCTTTCGCTTCCACCCTCACAGAACTTGATAGTCCCCTAAAGGTAAGGTCCACCCTGGAAACGGGTCCCCATCAGGATGGATGCCTCTCCCTTCTCTCTTTCATCTTGCAGAGGGAAACAAGGAAAACCTCAAGGAAAAATACAGACAAGAGTGGGACGATTCTCCGCTGCAGTTCTGGGGATATGGGCGGACGAGGGACCGTTTCTTCCCACTCAAGCCACCACGTTTGTCGGCTGCAGCGACACCAAGAGGAGATCCGGTGGCGTCTTTGAGGCAGACCACGGGCGGCCGCCCATTTTGCATTGCCAGCGTCAGGTCACCCACAAAAGCTAGCAGGCAATAAAACCAGCTGACCTTAAAGGTACCACAACCTTCCCTGTTGACCACACACCATTAGGACACTCACATGCAGACACAACACAAGGGAGGTGGCAAAGTGTCCTCTGGGCCAAAGTGTCCTCTCCTCCCCGCCCCACGGGGACCTCCGCTCTCCCGGCTGCGGCTCCTCGCCTCCTCTGAGCTGCCAAAAGTCTGCACACGCCCCGGAGCCCCCAAAGCCTTCCCTGGGGGGGGGGCAAGAAGAGCAGCGAAGCCAAGGATGCGGAGGAGAGACACCCACCTCTGTCTTCACAGCCGGCCTGCAGCCTCTAGGGAGGGAGCCGGGGGGGGGAATGACACCCCATCGGCTCCTCCAATTCCTTCCCCAAAAGACTGGGCAGAGACCCGGGGCCAGTCGGGGCTGGCTTGGCCTCAAGCCCCAAAGTGGGGATGCAGTCGAGACCGAGGAAAGATGCCCCCTCACTTCTCTCCGCGCGCTGAACATCTCTCTCTCTCCCTCCTTGGCCAAGAGCAACCGCCTTCGAGGATGGTTTTATTGTCCTTCCTCAATCACATCCTCATTGGATTAAGGGCCCTGGCAGGACCCGGGCCAGCGAGCAGCCAATTCCAATTACCCTCAGAGCTCCCGAGCCAGACAGAGACCGGTATGGCTGGCTCCCACCCGGCAGCCTGCCCTTCCTGAGGCTGGCTGGGAACAAAGCAGGCTTCCGGGCCGGAGCTGAGAGCTGAAGGAAGCAGCCCCTTCTCCTCTGCTGCCAAGTGTCCCTCCCCGCCAGGAGAGGGGGGGGGGGGAGAGAAGAGGCAACCAGCACCCCGTCTCACTTTCTCTCCTAAGACCATCGTGGCAGCATAGGCACCAACGACCGCCCCCCTCAAGAAGGGAAGCAAGGCACCATTTCTTTAACCCCGGGAGGAACGCAACAGGTCAAGGGGGGAGAAATAAAGAGGCAGGAGGCATCTGTTGAATGCCTGCCTCCATGAGGGGTCACCGCTAAAGGCGCAGGAGGCCAGAAGACAGGAAACCAGAGGGGAAGATTTCCCCAAAGCTAGAAAGGACGTGTCTTGGGTCGATCGCGTGCGATCGTCAGGAACCCCAAGCAAGCCGTCATGTCTCCAGAAGACGGGCCTTTATCGCCCCTCCCGTTTCTCATTCAGTGCTTTGGGCACGATCAGGATTCAAGCGAGCTGCTCGGTTGCAGCCCAAGGGCTTGAACTGTGGCTGCCCTCGCTGAGCGAATCGACGCCACTGCTGGCGGGCCAAACCAGCAGACTAAATGCCGATCCACGGAGAGACCTCCTCCCGCCCTGCGGCCGGCCTCGTGGGTGGGCTCCTCCCCGAGGGGCAGCGGCTTACCTTCGTCTCGGCCGGAGGGGCCGTGGGCGTGGTGGCCGGCCGCTGCTTGGAGATGTTCTGGATCAAGCACCAGCAGACGCGCTTCTTCTGCTCCAGGGAGAGAGCTTCCAGGCTGAGCACGCACTCCAGCTTCTGGGGGAGGGTTGGGGGACACAGGAGAGAGAGACACGGTCTTAGCAGGGGCTGGGAAAAGCACGGAAGGTCAGTCCCGACCGGGACCCGTGGGCAGCACTGACCGAAATGGCCTCAGCCCCTCTGCAGCCGCCTCCCTTGCCTTGGACGGCTTTGAGCTGCCAGTCCTGTATGGGAGGACCATCTGATCCTCCATCACGGGGATGAGGAGCGGCGTCTCTGGGGTGGGTCTCTCCCTCCCACTGGAAAGTGGCCAAATCGCTATTCCTCCATGTGGGCTAGTTCTATTAAGGCTCACGGCTTAATTGGGGAAGCAGAGGATTCCCTGGGGGTGGGGGTGGGGGGGAGAGGATATCAGGGGAGCCGACAGCACTCTGATTCTACTCTCCAGGAGAGTCCTCGCTTCTGGGATGCTTCCTTCCGATGAGGGAGGAAAGCCTCCGCATGCTTCTCGCTCCTTCTCCAACACACACACACGGTCTGGCAAAAGTGCATCCGAAGCACAACCCCCTTCCTTTGATCAGGCCAAGGAAATGGGGGAAGAAAGGACCTCGAGGGGAAGCTCGCTGGGAGAGGAGCATCCTTTCAGACATCACAAGATCCTTAGAATAAGTGGGGAGGTCGTCTTGAATCCAGTCGCCTTGCGGCCCCATCGACACACAATTGGGGCTCCCTGGCCCACAGGATCCGGATACCATTGCGGCTCAAACCAGCCCGGTTCTGCCTGTCCCTTGGGATCACACAGGCCTCATCCTTTCTGCCACTGGCTATTCTTTCTGAAACCTTACCTGCTGGAAAGGCCAGGATAGCTCCCGGTCCTGAGCGGAAGGAGGGCACTCAGGATTGGCAGCCCAGGAGGAATCAGCAAGGCGCTTGCTCCCTCCCGCCCGACCTTTGAAGGGACTGCCAGAGAGCGACACGGAAAACGCACATGGGAAACACATCCAAAAGTCCACACTTCTGGCGCGAAAGGGGGGGGGGACTTGCTGGAAATGAGTTCAGGCAGAAATGCCGCCTGGGAAAAAGGGGGCCACTTGGCCGCTCCTGCCCCACTGACGCATCCTGCCAGAATGTCCCCCAAGAGGACGCTGGAAAGAGGTTTCCAAGTGCTCTCCATCAAGAGCATTTCAGAAGCCCGGCTCCGAGGCTCTCAGCCCTCACCGCTGCTAATGGAATTAACGGCTTGCATCAATTCAATTAGGCCCGGGTGATGGTAGCGCTGGGCTAACGCACGGATGTCAAAACAGGGTGCAGAATGCTTCAGCTGCGATGCCTTTTTTTTTTCCTGTGAGGGTGTACACAACTCCCCACAACACACCCATAGAGGCAAACCCCTAATGCTCCTCCTGGAGAGCACACACCTTGGAGGGGAAACAGGAAAAAAAATGGGGCAGGGTGTGTGTGTGTGTGTGTGAGCCAAAGCCCCCAGGCCTGTTTCCCTCGCACTTCTCTCCACAGTGCGAACGTCCATCACTGATCTTCAGGCCCGCTGGTCCCTTACCTCAGCCAGGTAGAGGATGCAGAATTTCAGGTCCTCAGAGGAAGCTGCAAGGGAAGGACGTAGAGGAAAGAGTTCACTGTGTCCTGGGTGTCTTTTTCACCCACCACCCGCCCGAAGAGCCAAAGGAGGCACGTCATTCCCCATCTCCTCCTGCCTGCTTGGGCAAGCGGGGGGGGGGAACCCAAGGGGAAGCCAGGAAGCCAGCGCACAGAGCTTGTCTCGTCTGTCAGGAGGCAGATCCTGCTGGCTGGCTGGTGCCTGCGCCGAGTGGATCAATTTAGGGAGGAGTGCGGGATAGTAGCAGTTCCGCTCACAAAGGCCAGAGAGCCTTGGGTCCAAATCTCCCCTTTATCCCAGCACAGTGCTGGCAGACAGCCTTTGATCGCAGAGCTGGTCCTTCTTGCCCAGAGTCCTCTTCCCCCCCCCCCCCGCTGCCCTCTCATCACTCGCTCTCCCCTGAGACGACTCACCCTCCTGCAGCTGGACGTCCTTGAGGTACAGGGGGTTGCGAAGGACGTTGCAGCGCCCCGGCTCATCTTCCTTGGTGAAGAGCAGCAGGTCTGAGTAGACGAAGAGGGTCACCTGGGCACAGGGAGGGGAGACGGGAAGCTGACGGGACAGGCAGGGAGCCATCGGCGCACCTCCCTGGAGAGTTGGGACACCTGGAAGGCAGCCCACTAGAGGGGCATCGGGTCCCCTCCCAGGCCAGGGAGGCTGTTGGGCTGGGCTGGCAACCCCAGAGCCCTGCGGCTGCTGCTGAGCCAGTGAGATGCCCACACGATGGGTGTGACTGACAGCCTTCCTCCTCCGTTGTTGCCTTTCATGACCCACTAAGTACATACAGGATCCTGCTTTCTTCCTCCTCTCCTGCCTTCCTGTCGGCCACCCCAGAAATTAACTCTGCACAGCCTGCAGAGGGATGGCTTTTCGCCTGAGACTCACAGAGCTGGTTCTTATAATTTTTTGGGGGGGGGAGATCATATCTTGCCCCACACTGTGCCAAAGGAAGGACGCATCCTGCGACCAGACTCACAGCACACCCAGGAGCAGCATTTCAGAGATAGCCTTCCTGGCTCAGAAGCAGCTCTGGCCTCAAGGAGGTGCTCACGAGGGGGGAGAGGGAGGCTGTCGGCCTCCGGGGAGCCCAGTGTGGGGAGCCAATGTCCATCCAGACCCTCCAAGCGTGGGGGGACAGCCACACAGGACAGGCTGCCTGCTCTGGGTCGCCCAGGTGCTCTGCCTTCCCCACCTCTACCCAACCAACCTCTCCCTTACCTGCTACCTTTGCAGAGGTACCCAAAGCCCCCCCAACCCTCCCCAACCCATTTTAGGCTCTGAGCCACACCGGGCAGAGAAGTCCACCTGCAACAAAGGAACGGAAGCCACCCAGAATCCAGATTTTGGAAGGAGGGGGGGAACTGAAATCAGGTCTAGACAGGATGCGATAGAAGCCAGAGAAAAAGGCTGAGGGAAAGGGAGGGTTCTGGCAGAGCTCCGTCCTCTCCGCGGCCCCGCTCCTGCCTCCTTCCTCTCTTTGTTGGGGGGGGGGAGCAGCTTTTAGGTTTGGGGCTAAT